TATAATAGACATTGAATTCAATTGTAATATACTTTAATCAGTTGAATATTCATAGTGTACCCAATATGTACTAAATTGTTAATACTTTTAAAAGTAAAGTTTATAAATGAGCTCGCTCAGTATGCTATTATAAAATGCATTCATATGTAGTACTAGTATATGATTTTAAACGAAACAGAATTTCTTGTATCAAAACATATCGAAAATGACATTATTGTAGAACTATTGCCACTTCATCTCCCGTTCCCAAAGTGACCCCAAACCTGTTCCCATCCACTCGTCCCTTACTCTCTGGTCAATTAAATCACTCTTATCTCTGGTCAACACTGACCTCCAGTTCCCGACCGAACCCTTCCGTAAATGATTGGCCATTCGATGGCGGGTTTGCGTTGAGTTCACAACGGGTTTCATGACTTCAAAACTGGTCGTCCGAACGATTTGCTCCAAAAGTGTGAGAACTGTAGTAGTGGTCGGCGATAGGGCACCAGTACCATGAACTGGGTACAGCTGACACGGCCGGTCCACGTACTCTGGGCCCAGGAATTGGGCGATTTGCCTGATGTTAGGCTCGGGGTCGGCCGCCATGTGCTCGTACACCAGAACCGTGCAGTTGTTGTGATGGTTGTGGTGGCGCTGTTCCCAGAAGTGGCGTACGGTCGCGAAGTAGTGGCCGTAATACATGTCTAGGGTTACCCCAAAAATAATACAAGTCCCTGATTATTGGCGAGGTTTTCCGTAACACCTATACATACCGGTGCCGGCCAACCATCGGGGGAAGAACTGGTGAAAGTCGCCCATCGCTCGCAAGTCCGGGAAATAGTTATACAGCGAAACGCATACGTCTTTTGGGTTTCGCAAAATCATCAGATATTTTGCCGCCGATTCCGAGGCCAACAGTTTGCCGCTTATATGAGTGCTCATGTATGTCACCGACTGTTCGGTCAGTACCTGACGCGTCAACACCTCCTAGCCGTACCCTTCCATCCAATAGCCGGAGTACTGGTGCGAGTGTTGGGCCTCTAGACTGCGACCGGCGCTCATAACGGCGAGTATGATATGTTTGGTCCAAACTGTTCCGCATCGCGGATACGCTATGAGTATACGGTCCCCGTCTCGGGGCCTATAGTCCAGCGCCCACTCCACGCGAGTCCTGTCGTGAATGTGGCCGTAATATTGGCCCCGAATTTGTAGGAATTTCTCCGAATAGACGGACATTAGTACTATTATGATGTTTGAACAAAATGCAAACAACTGATTATATTAGCTTGCAGATTTACAAACTGTACAGTATATTGCAATTTTCATATGACAAAAATGACTATTCATTTCAAATGAGAAAAAACATTTAAATTTTGTAACACCAATGACCGGCAATAATAGTACAGTACTTTACTTAGCATTCGCGCGACACTATAAGCACTATAATGTCATTATTTGATTAGATTTTTATCATTTAAAATTAAATCTTATTTTAAAATGTTATTTACACTGAAATTAATACATATAGTATTGCCATTCATTTATATAAGTACCTCAAACACAAGCCATTTGCCAAATGTTGTGGTATTTTTAGTGGATGACTTTGGCTGGTCTGATGTTGGCTACCATTCCGATCACGTGTTGACTCCAAACATCGACACGTTGGCCGCCGATGGCATCGTATTAAACCAATATTACAGTCACACAACTGCGAGCACCAGTAGGGCGTCCCTACTCACTGGCGTCCACCCCATACACACCGGACTACAGAACCTGTTCATTATGAACCATTCGCCTACCGGTGCGCCCCTACACTACAAACTATGGCCGCAATATCTTAAACAATATAACTATAGCACACATATGGTCGGTATGTGAGATGTAAAACACATTTATTTGCTTATGATTGACAGTTTGGGTCATAAAAATGTTGGAAATAGTTTCGGTCTCTCAAACTCAGATGGGGTTTAACATGAATCCCATGGGCGGGCAGTTTGAGGGGCCGACACTATTTGCAATTTGGCCAAAAATGTCCCCAAAGTTCTTAAAGTTTTATATATAGTATAAGTATCAATCGATGTCTATAAAAGTATCAATCGATAAATAAAAATTGTGAATTAAAAGCAGTGTTTACTCATTGAGACTAATAAAAGCTCAATCGTTACTAATGATTCATTAGTGTTGTACTTGAATTTGTATCAAGCTAAGTTTGAAGGCTTTTATTAGTCGGAATGAGTAAACACTGCTTTTAATTCGCCATTTTTATTCATCAATTGATTTAATTGATATTTTATAGACATATGCCTAAACATTAATCAAAATAAAGGCATTTACTATATATAAAACTTTTATTATTAGTAAAAATGTGCTTATTCTTTATAAAGGTTATTTAAAAGTTAAATAAAAGTTTTTTACATTAAATGCTAGTTAGCAAAAAAAACTTATTTTTTATTTATGTTTATCCATATTTTGTAATCTTATCGATATCTCAATGCCGATAGCAATAGCGTGTATATAATAACTATGGCATAAACAATGTATATTATACATACTGTATGCCAGTTTATATAGAATGAATGAAATAATGAATGTAAGTCACCCAGGCTTTTCACATACTTGTAAGTGTAACTAATTATGCTTTCTCTCATTATGGCAACCAATAGGCAAATGGACGTTAGGGTTCGCGCGACGCGACTACACGCCCACATACCGGGGCTTCGACTCATTCGTGGGCTTCTGGACGCACACGAAATACAACTACAATCACACGAGTTGTGAGTTTTATCGCCACTTTATCTGCGGTGAGGACTCGCGACACAACACAGACTTCACGACAAACGGAACCGGCGTTTACTCGACACACCATTTCACCGACCGGTCGCTTCATCTGATCGGTAGTTAACGCGTACACCGAAACACACTTTCTGCCCAAATTGATCGCACCATGATACTTTTTTGTAACGATTATTATTTATTAGACACCCACAACACTGCGCAACCACTGTTCCTATATGTGGCCTATCAAACGATACACCACTCGCCCTATGCCCTAATGGAGGCGCCGCCACCGCACGAGTTCCCGGATATGTTCGGCCACATCGAGTCAGACCAACGGAAAACAGTCGCGCGAATGATATACTCTATCGATCAGTCGATCGGCGCAGTTGTCGAGCGGTTACACTATCGCCAAATGCTCGCTAATAGTATCCTGGTGTTTGTCAGCGATAATAGTGGTCGTAGCACTGGTATGCAGGCAGTATACGCCCAATAATTCCGCTATTGGGATACACTTCAGTATATCACTAAAGGCTATTCATATATAGTATTACTAAATGACCAAGATTACAAATCAAAGGGAGGGGAGAGAGAGAGGGAAGGAGGGAGGGTGAGGGTGCAGGGTTAGATTTCTGAAAGTACTTAGCTTATAAATACAATTGGGTGACCTTTTCAGGTAGGGTTAAGCTTAAATCATAGCTTCCAAATGAGCATTGTGATCATGATTAAACAAATGTTACGTAAGTGTGTAAACATTTAAATAAATAATTTTTATAACTCTTTTATAAAGTAAATCCCGGAACCAATTGGCCGTTCAAACACACCTACCGACCAATTCATGGCCTACACGAAGGAGGTATAGATAATATTGTCGCGGATATCAGTAATCAGTACTCAATATAATTGATATTTTAGTTATAATTAGCAAAACATTTATATTTGTGTCAGACATCAGAGCGCCGGCACTCATATGGAGTCCATTACTTACCAAAAGTGGTTACGTCTCGGACGCCATCGTCGACGTCACGGATCTGTTGCCAACAGTTTTGGAGGCCATCGACGGCACCGACAGTTTGGCCGACGAGACCGACATATACGGTACGAACTGTACGTTAAGATAGCAATAAGTGTGCGCAACGTCTGTATTATAGGTCGGTCTCAATGGAGCGCACTGTCCAACAACGACCGCCCGGTGCGACGGGAACTCATCCATAACGTCGACCAGGTGTACAACGTGTCGGCCATTCGTTGGCACGACTGGAAACTCATGCAAATCTCGACGCTGGCGCTGACCGCCTACCGGTCGGCGCCGGCGGCCTATTCAGCCAACGCCGCAAAAAATGGCGAGTCATTCAAAGAGCGGCGGACTATGGATCGCGTGTCCTGTAAGTCATACGACGTGTTGCGCCGAATGAATAGAGCGCCCGATTATGAGGCGCTCAGCGATGCGGTGGTGGAGTGCGGGCGGCGGCCGACACCTGTCGCCACAGACGACGCGAATGACTGCCCAAAAGGACAGTTGTGTTTGTATAACCTTCGACACGATCCGTGCGAATACCATAACCTTATCGACGAAACGGACCCCGAATTCGTGCGATTCTTGTGGAATAAATTGGTGACATTTAACGGGACATCAGTGCCGCCCCTGTCGCTCGTGCCACTCGATGACAGAGCCGACCCGAGCCTTCATAATAACCGGTGGACTAATTGGTTGGACACCGGGGAACAGGCACATCAGGGGGACGGGACTGTTGCCAACAAAGTGCATACTGATTTATAGTTATAAACACGGTCAATATAAAATATGATGGCGGTTTGTTTTTATAACTCCCTTATTAAATATATGTTGTTTTATACGGCTTTATATTAATTAAAATAAATCATTTACTATTTTAAGATTAATATTATTAAATATTTAATGACATAAAAAATA